TCATAAACGTTCGACGTAATTTCTCAGTGACGACATAAAGGGTTGACGCGCAATCAATAGATCAAACTTGTGCCGTTGAGTTTGAAAAAAATAAAACATTCCACGCGTTAAAGGTTATAAACAGGCTAATGTATTATATGAATAAGTCACAAATGTAAATATAAGTAATAAGTAATCATTTTAAAACATCTATCGGGATATAAATACGGGTTGGTACGAGATCAAATGGAATTTGATCTCGTGACCAACCCGTATTTATATCCCGATAGATGTTTAAAAATGATACCTTATTTCTTAAATAACGCCATAAACGCAACATTTTGACAATGTAAAAGCAAACTTTGAAATTATTTAGCAAAAAAACTAGCGAGAAGACATATTGATTTTTTATTTCAATAGTTTTAATTTTACCTCATCTTGATATTTTGAAATTACTGACTAATTCGTCTACGTCTTTAAAAAGTTATCCAACCTCTTTTCGCAAAATTGGTTTAAAAACGTCATTTTTCTATATATTTCAATAGTAAAGCGTAAAAATAGTACTAAAAACTATACCGCGTTTACAGTAATACAGCATTAAAACTACGTAGACAAATTTGATAAAAATTACAGATAAAATGCTATAAATTCTAAGGAACATTATATAAAATTTTCAGGATATGTTTTCTCGTAAAAATTTTTAAGCAGTAAACCCGCGACCTACCTTAATTACGTCTCTGTAGCCTCATTGTGGCGTCACTTTAGCGCGAGTTTCACCGTGTATATTTCTACGCGTGAGTATACACAAAAATGACTTTCAAATCAATTTCACAGTTGGCTGAGTAGAAAAACACAGCAAATGTAAATATTATACAATGAAAAATGTGTTTTGTAATTAAATAAAATATTATTTGCAGATATATATGAGGCCATTAACTTGGATGCGATGTCTATTTTATGATTTTATTCATATACTTCCCGTACATTCCCTAGACAAGTGAAACTGCCGAACATTTGTATGCAGATTCATTAAAGGGTAATAGAAGGGTCGTAATAAATCGATATATTGCAAGGGCATACCCTCAGTGAATTACGACAAGCTTTTACACATAAACTCAAGAGGAATGATGATATTTGAAAAGTGCTGCGAACCTGATGAAATCTTGCAAATGAATTAATTATATCTACATTTAATGTACTTGACCAGCAAAATATTCAACATACGGTCTATCAAATGTAATTTTAGCAATTATATAGTAGAATCTATATAGGTTCGCAGCACTTTTCACAAACTACAAAGAGTGTTGAAAAAATTATAAATTAAACTTAGATTTTTAACCTGGTTATGCCCTTGCAATATTGGAATTTATAGATGACCTCAATACTGCATGTATATTTGCGAAAATCACGTGACTGCCACATTACGTGACAAATCTAAATAAGAAATATAAACGTCCTCAACATGTAGTTTTCAGCCACATTACATTTGTCCCATAATAGTAAAGGCCTAAAAAGAATCGCCCATCCTTTAAAGAATGTATTTTCTGTCTAAAAAATTCGCCGATATTTCCATTTGGCACCTTAACTGTACTGTGTTGAAGAGTCCTACATAACCGATAATAGGGTAACATGTAGGACCCGGAGGAAGACCTTTCTGTTGTTTGGAAAGATCGCAAATAAAACAGACCAACACAACAATAATGGCCACAGTATTCAACACAGTGCAAAAAAACTTTTACGGAATATATATATTTTTCCAATTTTTCGAAGATTTGTGAATACCTCTATATTCACTGTGCACCTTTCATACGAAATATAATTGCACTAACTTAACCTAACATTGCAATATTTTCTAACGATGTCCGACCTTGCAGTTGTTACGTGTATCTTGTTTTTCCTCAAAGGTACACAAAAAGAAATAAGAAATAAAACACATATTTCGATATTTTCAACCATATTTATTTAAAAATATAATTTTATATATTTAGTAAAACTTTAACTATAAGTTAAAAATTAACCTGGGAAAAAAAATCAACGAATAATTGCTCACGTTGTTGATATGATGGGAGATTATTTCATACATTGGCTTTATTCAAATTAATTATTTGGTTTTATTTTGAAGCGTAAAAAAGCGGCATTGAATGATTTTTTCCCTTTTTTCCGTGATAGCTGCGTTTAAAAATAATCACTTTCCAGTGCAGCATGTAGCTTTGAATATTTTCTAAAACTCTAATACCGTGATTGTTTCCTCCTTTAGGACATAGAATAATGTAAACTTTGAGTACATGATTTAACAGCTTTAATTAATTAAATAAATTGTTTAGTTTCAAACACGTGCATTTACGTTAAATACATGGATTAAAAAAATGATTTTCTGACTTCCGTTTTTTTTAAACTGGCAAAACAACTTTTTATTATTACCAACATTTAATTAATTTTTCTAATTGATCTTACACTGCAGTTGCAAGAAATCGGCGGTTGATGAATATTAATATCTCATTTTCCTTCAGTAACTAACCGTACTTGTTAAATTTTTGGAAAATCCTTGTTGATTTTACTTTTACAACTTTTCTGCTGAAAGTAAACAAAACTACTGCACAAAATGAAACCTGCAAATTCAGAAACACAAGGGATGAGGATTTCTTGTCATTTAGAATCCTTTTCACGCATGGGTGAACAAAGCAGTCCCAAGGACTGCTGGGTTTGCTTTCTAGAGCAGTCCCACAGCGGTCCCAGAACAGTCCCACAGCGGTCCCAGAGGGGTCCCACAGCGGTCCAAGAACAGTCCCGAGGACTGCTTTCTGGGACTGTTTGAGTGTCAGGTTGGGTCTGGGTGGTACTGTATGTAAATAAACAGTTAGGCCTACATCACATTCGCACCAAACTTTACTCTGTGCCTTTGAAAGTGTTGAATGGTTTATTTGTAAAACGCAAAGAAAATCCTTATTTGGATTCTTCGACACCATAATACAGGCTCGGATCTGTGGTTATAGACATTGCAAATCATAGGCTCTTAAAACTGCCACGTTTCGCGGAAGAAAATACCGCTCAAACAACCCGTTTGTTCCTTAAACTTCAATATGCCAACAAAGGAATTGACGCAGTTAATATAAGTAATATTCTTAATCACAAAAAGGCCCAGTCTTGTATTCCACCATATTTCAAGTTCAATTCCACACCTTGTATTTCTTACAATTATACATCGACAATTGCTTCCAAACTTCTTAATTCTAAAAAAAAAACTCTGATTCCAAAACTCCATAAGAGTCCTTACAATCAAAGGTACATAGTGGGTTCCAGTAAACTTCTACCAAGCCTCTCTCTTTACTCCTCACTAAAATATTTACAGCAATGAAGAAGAAACTTCAAGAGTACTGTACAACAGTATATTTGAGAAGTGGTGAAGATCAGATGTGGATACTTAAAAACTTCAAGGAACTTTTAGAAAATTTGAAATCACGAAATTTTATCAATATCAATAACATCAAAACGTACGACTTTTCAACTCTTCCCCACGATAATTTAAAGTCCAGTTTTTTGACATCATAGACAGTTGTTTTTCAATAAAAATGGAACTCAAAAATATACTTACCTTGTCATTGGTCATTTGCAAAATTATTTTGTAAAAAAAAAATCCTGAATCAAAAACACGAGTACTCTGAAGTTGATATTATAAAGATGCCTGAGTTTCTGATTGACAGTATCTGTGTATTTTTTGGAGATCAGGTCTTCCGACAATCTGTTGGAATTCTCATGGGTACCAATTGCGTTCCGTTGTTAGCAGACCTATTTTTGTATTCATATGAAGCAGAATTTATTCAAAAACCTATACATGAGAAGAAGTAAACACTTGCTGTGGTGTTCAACTCGACATTTCGATATATCGACGACGTATTATTAATTAACAATAGTTACTTCTTTAGTATGTCGACTCGATATATCCTAGTGAGCTTGAAATAAAAGATACCACAGATGATTTTGACATATCTGTTTCATTTTTGGATATTTTACTAGAAAAAGACGTTAATGGTAACCTAACAACAAAGCTTTATGATAAACGTGATGACTTCAACTTTTCAATCGTCAACTTCCCTTACTAATTTTTTGTTTGTTTGTTTATTGTTTAACGTCCCTCTCGAGAATTTTTCACTCATATGGAGGCGCCACCACTTTCCGGTGGAGAGCTACAAATTTTGACGTATACTCGGCACTTAGGGCCATTGAGCAGTGAGGGATCTTTTTCGTGCCAGCACCTACTGCGACACGGGACCTCGGTTTATACGGTCTCATCCGAAGGACCGGTCTCCACGTCCCACAGTGGGATTCGAACCCGCGACGTAAACTTACTAATGTAAATGCGCATCTGGTGCATCAAAATTGGTACCGTATAAGATTTACATTATATAGCAATATACTCTTATCACCTGCATATGCGGTTTACGTCTCTCAGTTGATTCGCGATGGAAGAGCACGCTCTACGTTTGAACAAATTCTAAAACGGGGCAAGCTATTGACAAACAAGTTGATGAAACAAGGATATCAACAGTTTCCTATGAAGTCATCATTTCGCAGTTTTTTGGTAGATACAATGAGCTTGTCAGCAAATACGACCTATCATCGAGCCAAATGCTGACTGATGTTTTTCATACTAATTGTTAGTCTCTTATTTACACACTGAATTGTCTACGGTTTTTCCCGATCATGACAAGGAGCACACGGCCGGTGTGACAGGTCGGCAGAGGGTGCTCACTCCTCCATGGCACCTGATCCCTTTTTGGAGGTTTGTGTTTGCTCTGCTTCCGATTTGTATTGTTTTAATGGACTTTTGAGGAGCTTGAATACTGTTCGTTATCTCCATATTTCATTTCACACTGGTACCAGTTTCTTCAAATGTGAGTTCATGTCATGCACAAATTGTGACTTATAACCATTTCTTCTGGAAATATTCCATTTCTACATTATTTTTATCCACAGGATTATAAGAATACAGGAACATGAGGTCAATTGAAGAGTTATTACGTGAGTTAAAAATTACATTGTGACATAAAATACGAAAATTTGTGATGTTTTCAATTATCAAAAACATAAAACTATTATTACTTAGAACTTTTAAATAGCCCTCGTATTAATGTCAAAGCTCATACACTATTGCAGTTTAACGTTTAACAAATCTCAGGTTAAAGGCATTCGGCGTGTGAGTAATCCCAAAAGTTCCCTTTAAAGAAGGCAGACACTCCGGATCCTCCGCTTTTATCTCAAACTTCTGTAGAAATCTGACGAAAAAAAGGAAGAGTTCCATTTTGGCGAGGGCGTCTCCTAAACACACCCTGGGCCCTGTCGGAGGAAAGATAAGCCATAATATTTATAAGTGCATGAGTGATTTCTAAATAATAGAGAATGATATTAAGGATATTGTCAGTTTAGTTCTAATTATCAATTCTAATGGGTCAGATTCAAACTTACGTATTAGCCATAATAATTACTATTTATAACCCTGGACATTTTTCATACTGAGATCATCTATTTTACATTCATACCTAACGAAAAGGTGATCAACTTGTCTTTTAAGTCTTCACGACATCTCCCACTGACATCTAAAAACCGTTCAGGTTTAAACTTTGAAGGTTCAGGATATGTTTCTGAATCCATCAATGCGGAATTCAAAAGAAACAGTACAGTGGTACCTTTAGGAAAGAGATACCCTTTGTACGTGAGGTCTTCCTTGCCTGTATGTGGGGCAGTTAAGGGAGAAGTATTTCCTACTCGCACAGTCTCCAGAATGAAGGCCTCTACCATTGGCAGCTGTTTCCTGTGTTCCATCTTAGGCTGACCTTGACCGATTACGTCATCAATGTCCTTCTGAAGTTTTTTCTGCCAATGCGGATAATGGATCAAGAAAAGTAGTGCCCATCTGAGTGTCGTGGAAGTAGTCTCAGTGCCAGCACCAAAGAAGTCTTGTAAAGTTTGGTTCAGATTTTCAGCTAGAAAAGAAGATGTATAATACTGGATAATTAAACAACCACAAAATCAATATAACGATATTATATAATATATTTGACTGCTAGTAAATGAAACAAAGATCAAAGCATTGTAAATAAACGAAAATAAGAACACTTCAGACTGTGTTTTATATTTGTTGAGGGTGTTCTATAAATATATAATTCTCTGTGATATCAATATCAAAACAGAAAAGCAAAATCTAGATGTATATATGCATATAACACTACATATACATAATTAGTGAATAAGAATAAATTATAGACTCGGTTTTTACAGTACACTTTCTTCTAACATGTCATGAGGATTAACATTTAAATGCCCTTTAATCCCTCCTTCAAAACTCCATCATTTACATACATGATGAAATACCTGTAAATATAGTGTTGATTTCATTTGATCTTTGTTTTTGTTCCAGAAGGAAAGCATCAATGAAATCATCGATGTGGTTCTCGTCAAAACTTCTTCTATGCTCCTCTATTATTTCATCAAGAAATGCTCTGAAAGCATGAACATTTTCTAAAACTGGGTCAATGTAAAAGATTCTGATGTTGCGTAAAGATGGAAAAATAAAAACAGGTGAAGCTGTAGTGACGCTGCTGAATGACTTCGACAGTAGATCAATTAAACGCTTGAATCTTGTATCATCATAATCAAATCTTCTACCGAATAAAAGCGAACAAATGACGTTAGCTGTGGATGCATTCAGTACATTTTTAATATCCAGAACCTCGTTTTCACATTTTCCCAATTTCTCCATCAAGCAGTCTACCTCTTCCATGATTTGGCTTTCCATGCACCGTCTCCCAAATCCAAACTTTCGTAATGTCATCAGTGCAAACGATCTTGTTTCTTTCCACAAAGGACCCGATGACCACACCACACCTGGACAGGTGATGAGAAATTAGGATCCAGGTAATAATAATGTTGATAAATGATCAGATAGGATGTGATACATTTTAATAGTTATGCGGTAAATAAGTTTATCATCAGATTTTTTAATATGGTGGAATGATCGGGAAATTAAATTGAATAAAATCTTTTTACAAATCTAAATATTTCACTGAGAGATTGTTTCTGTGGTATTGTCAAAAACCTGTGTCAAATTCACCCCAATATAAAGATTTGTTATCGTTGTATGCATATCGTCTGCCTCTAAGACTTGAAAGTGAACTGTTTTCATATATCATAACAATCATGGAAAATGAGATATGTACTTAAGAATTTTACCATTTCCTCCTGCAAGATCAGTGCCAAGACACCTTGGTCGCTCAGAGAAGATATCCCCATGTTTAGCAAGTAGCGCTCGAATGTCGTTGAATCCATGTACAAATATGATAGGTTTATGGAAAATCATTATGGTATAGATGTCTCCATAAATTTTCCTCAGTCTTCTGTGAGCTTCCAAACCCTCTGACGGTTTGAAGATTCCGACATTGCCGATGATGGGGTAACATGTAGGACCAGGCGGAAGTCCTTTTGGTCGTCCAGTCAGGCTCCATATCAAACAAAGTAATACAAAAACAATGGTCAATGTCACCCACATAATGCCAAATGTACGTGGTGTCCTACATTCAGTGAACTTTGCTGTACGGTTGCATTTCTGTGCCAAAACTCTAATTTTTTTCCTGTCTCCTTTCTAATTTATTTTTTTTGCGTCGCCTATAGAGCAGAGCGACTCTTTGGGATCATTTTCCCCTGCATCTGTCTGTCCGTTTGTCCGTCTGTCACACTTTACATCTTCAGAACTGTTAGAAGTGGGGATTTGATATTTGGATGTATTGCTTGGGAATGTAGTTTTGTAAAATACCAGGACTACTGACCTCGTGACCTTTGGACTTAACCTGTGAACTATTTTTCAAAATACATCATAGTGCTGATATTCACATATTCATTGAGCTTTTAGAGGGAAGTTTGTTCTATTTGGCAAATGCACTACTTCTCATAAGACATGCTGAAAAATATCTGCATTACAGTCCAACTGACATTGACCTATTGGCCTATTTTCAAGAGTACGCCGAACTGTAAAGATGCGTTTTATACATTTTTAAAAGAAGGGGTCTTTTATCTAGCATGTTTAAACTTGTTTATAACCTACTGACATTTTCTTTCAAATTCATAGAATTGATTACCATCACAAACTGAATTTAAATGCATTCTGTTAACAATCGGAATATCATTCGACCCCTACAGTCAACCAAGGAAAATCCTCGGTTTTTCTTCACTTGATGAAAAACGTGCAGTGATGTTCTCGATTTGACGGAATACAGCTTGTGATTTTCCTATTGATCTATTTAATTGTCTTCAAAAATAAATCGGGATCAATATACCGACTTTTGTTCGTGAATCTCAAGGAATAATTAAATTTATATACTAGAAATCTCGTATAATATACTAAAAAATAAATAATCATCATTTAGTTTTACGAGGGGCATTTGAAAAGTTCTGAGAACTCTTTGATACAATATTAATTGTTTAACGTAAATTACTGAATTTGATATCATTGGACAGATCACAAAAATATACAGATACTGTGGCGTCACTCTGTAATTTTCATTGCATAATATCTCCGAAAATGATGTCAGAATCCCGTGTGTTTTGCATTTTTACCATAAAAATGACGTATCAAAAGACACAATTTTCAATGAAGTAAAATTTTAAAGTCAACTTTTGTTTATTACTTGGATGCACGCTAACGGACACAATTGTCAGTTGGGAGAATGTATACACAGACTACAGTCTATCATACAGAGTTAAGTTCAGGAGCTCCTATAGTTCTGAGGTGGTTTAAGAGTGTGTCAAACATAGCACATTATTATCGAACCTCGCGCAAAATATTGGGTATAAAATTAAAGACGTTGCTGTAAGAAAGTGACAAAGTTGACAATCTCAGGTGAATAATGAATGGTGTTACAGAATTGCTGGCATTAATTCATCAGGTGTTTTAACCAATTTTGCGGGAACGATTAATGCTCAAGAGAGGTTAAGCTAAGGGTGTCCAATATTTTCTTGTAAAAGAACCAAAATGGCGCCGGTGTAGTTGTAACCCCACTGTAACTCGATATGTTCGCAAATTTTAAATAATGGAAAATAAATAAGATTGTACATAGCAATGGAACTCAAATTTATTTTTTGAGTCGAATGTCAACAACAATAGTGAGTTTTGGATCGCCGAAGTTGAAATACGATGAAAAAATATGCTCAGAAACAAGTCCAGGGGGAAACTTTTGTACGTTTTATTCGTAAACGGTAAGAGTCTTGATACTGAAGATGCATTTGTAGAAAACTGCATTGTTACACTTTAGTTGTATACAGAATATGTTTTTTGTTTAATTCAGTGGAGGGCTTTATAGTAGACTGAAAGTCTAGCTATATCATATAAATCAAAATCTTTTATGAATGCCTATGATAACATAGCCCGACATAAACTGTCCTAATTAACTTACCATAAAAAGAAATATGGAATTGCTGATTTACAGTACCATTTCTACAATCTTACTCTACCTCCATGCAAATTTTCTTTGAAATATCTTTTCAAATAAGCCTTTGACAGCACTTTTCTGATGTTATCATGTGGACAAAAACGCGACTTTTCAGTATGCTAAACATTCGAGATTCTGACGTCATTTTCGTAGTTATTACGTCATAAATATAAAAAAGTGACATCGAAATCAGTGCAAATTTTCCAGCTCTTTTCAATGGTATCAAACTCATTAACTTCCGTGAAATGGTAAATATTTAAAAAAAACAGTTCTCAGAACTTTTCAAATGCCCCTCGTATTTATGTCTCTAATGATGCTAAGGTTACAGGCGACAATGCGTTCCTCGCTACTCTTTATTTATCTAAATCTTTATACTTGTGTTCCGTGTAAAAATATATATTACTAGTATACATACTATTATCCCCTCCATTTGTCTCAATCTTCAAACAAAATAGTGATTTTTTAAAAGGCTTATCACATTTTTATGCTTCCGGATACATTGACTCTAAGTGTGACCGCCATTTTATCGGAGTGAAGTTGTAGAAATTTTTAATCTAAATGTAACACAGGTTTTTATAATTGCATGTATTGATGCTAGAGGAAGAATTTAGAATAATAAAAGAATAAATAAATTAAAAATCATTATTGCATTTACACTTCTCCTTAACAATTGATATAACCTGTTATCTTCACAAAGCTTACTATCTGAAATATGATACCTTATAATGGAAGTAAGAACATAAATATACCTTTAAATGCCATCTACGACCTTGACGACGTAGTTTAATTTTGTCTCGAGTTTTGCATGTTTTAAATAAGTACAGGAATAAATGTATTTTTAAAAAAAAAATCTACAAAAATATAAAATGAGAAAATTACAACTGCGTTTACTAAGGAAATGAATTTAATTTTTGAGAATTCATGAGACATGAACTACGACGCTAATGAAAAATATACAAGCTTGAAGCGTTGTATTCATGTACCTTATGAATTCTCAAAACTCATATCTTATATTTACATTATTTGTTTAATGACTTGTCATAAATTTATTTCATTTAACGACCATTTTTGAAACAAAACAGTTTGGACTATTGTTTAAAGTCAAGTACGGCATTATGAGGTCGCAATGTAAATATTCTTGCTCAATCATGGTAGTTCATGAGAAAATAAAGTTTTTTTTTTTCTAATTTGCAATAATATTTGAAAATGTAAGTATATTTATATCAAAAATTAAATCTTTTCTTCTTATTATTTTTTGTGTGATAAACTTTTCAAGTTCTAACGTTTTAAAAGTCTCATTTTAAAGTCTTGTGGCGAATAGGTTATTCCCAATGATCCACCCATATAGGGAAAACACTCGGGATCCTCTGGTTTTATCTCAAACTTCTGTAGAAATCTGGTGAAGAATAAGAAAAGCTCCATTTTGGCAAGCGATTCTCCTAAAAACACCCTGCGTCCTGTCAAGGAAAAGTCAGGACATTTTTACTTATATTCTTGTAAATTCTTATCATTTCTGAATAAATCTTTCAAAATATTTATTCGCCTTGACGTTTTAGACGGACCGCTTTTACCATTTTTTAACTTAATTATCAGCCTTTTAATATACATAATCATACTCCGCACCTATTGAAAAAGGAATCATTTTATTTTTTCTTTTCTCCTTGACATCTTCCGCAATCGTCTATAAATCTCTCTGGTTTAAACTTTGAAGGCTCAGGGAAATTTTCAGGATCCGACAGTACAGAATCTAAAACACAAAATATAAGGACACCTTTGAGGAAGAGATGTCCCTCGTACATGAAATCTTCACTCGAGGCATGTGGCAAATTTATGGGAACAATGTTTGCAAGGCGTTGAATTTCCAAAATGAAAGCTTCTACCATTGGTAGCTGTTCCTTGTGTTCTATTTTAGGCTGACCTTGACCTATCACCTCATCAATGTCCTTCTGCAACTTTTTCTGCCAACGTGGATAATGAATCAAGTACAGAAACGCCCATCTGAGTGTTGTAGAAGTAGTTTCAGTGCCAGCTCCAAAGAAATCTCGTACACTGACAACAAGCTGTTCATCTATCAAAAGTGAAAGTCATTTTTTCAAATTGATATACATTTCTTTGTATGACATATGAAAATGAAAAAAAAAAACATATATTATGCTCACAGCTTCAATTATACATTACAAACTGAGAGCAGGGAAAAACACACCCTGAAAGATAAGAGGTGGGATCAGAAGCCATATTCGGGTAATCTGTTATTTGAAATAAATCCGTGTGAAAATAATGGTCAGTTTGTATTAAAACTGTCAGTCAAGATGGAACCTTACGACAGATTGTGATGGAAACAATGTCATTGTAATGACCAAAGAGTTTGGAAAATTTATCTTCAAACGAGGTTGTAGTTACCCTTGATACATCACTTTATTTATCAGTAGTGTGCCTCAGTTTAGAAATCGATCGTATGTAGAACATGCTCTTGCTTATCAAATCCACTGAGAGATAGAAACACCACATGCAGCTGATAATGTTACATTGCTCCATCAATAAGAAAAAATATTAAAATTTATGTCACACAATATGTTTAAAAATCATACTTTTGACCTAATTTTACCGAAAAAAAAACTACTCTCTCGTCAACGAATACCTGAAGTCCCTTATAAGATTCATACAATACTTTCTATCTCGTTTGTCTCCTATAATACTAGCAGCAAATGTATGTTATCAAACAAAATGGAATTTATAAAATTAACGCAAAATTAGAAGGTATTCCTTTGACATAAGCCCATTATGTCTGAGGCGCATTGACACTGTTTTTCCCTCATAAAGACATATTTAGTAATTCTTCCTTTAACTAGGGTTTCCTCCATTTCTTAAGAAAAGAAATACAATTATATTCAATAAAATTGAATAAGGAAGAAGGGGGATGGAATCCAATGTTCTTCATTTACTTGTAAATGTTGTGCTTATGTCATTTCCTCTTTGCTTTTGTTCCAAAAGGAAAGCATCGATGAAATCCATGATGTTGTTCTCATCAAAATTAAGTCTGTGCTCCTCTGCCATTTCAGTCACAAATGCAGTCAGAGCATAAACGTGCTTCATGATC